GGAAAGGGCGATGCTGATGGATATGAGAGGAAGGGCGATGCTGATGGATATGAGAGGAAAGGGAGATGCTGATGGATATGAGAGGAAAGGGCGATGCTGATGGATATGAGAGGAAAGGGCGATGCTGATGGATATGAGAGGAAAGGGCGATGCTGATGGATATGAGAGGAAAGGGCGATGCTGATGGATATGAGAGGAAAGGGCGATGCTGATGGATATGAGAGGAAAGGGCGATGCTGATGGATATGAGAGGAAAGGGCGATGCTGATGGATATGAGAGGAAAGGGCGATGCTGATGGATATGAGAGGAAAGGGCGATGCTGATGGATATGAGAGGAAAGGGCGATGCTGATGGATATGAGAGGAAAGGGCGGGGGGGAGGAAAGGGCGATGCTGATGGATATGAGAGGAAAGGGCGATGCTGATGGATATGAGAGGAAAGGGCGATGCTGATGGATATGAGAGGAAAGGGCGATGCTGATGGATATGAGAGGAAAGGGCGATGCTGATGGATATGAGAGGAAAGGGCGATGCTGATGGATATGAGAGGAAAGGGCGATGCTGATGGATATGAGAGGAAAGGGCGATGCTGATGGATATGAGAGGAAAGGGCGATGCTGATGGATATGAGAGGAAAGGGCGATGCTGATGGATATGAGAGGAAAGGGCGATGCTGATGGATATGAGAGGAAAGGGCGATGCTGATGGATATGAGAGGAAAGGGCGATGCTGATGGATATGAGAGGAAAGGGCGATGCTGATGGATATGAGAGGAAAGGGAGATGCTGATGGATATGAGAGGAAAGGGCGATGCTGATGGATATGAGAGGAAAGGGCGATGCTGATGGATATGAGAGGAAAGGGCGATGCTGATGGATATGAGAGGAAAGGGCGATGCTGATGGATATGAGAGGAAAGGGCGATGCTGATGGATATGAGAGGAAAGGGCGATGCTGATGGATATGAGAGGAAAGGGGATGCTGATGGATATGAGAGGAAAGGGCGATGCTGATGGATATGAGAGGAAAGGGCGATGCTGATGGATATGAGAGGAAAGGGCGATGCTGATGGATATGAGAGGAAAGGGCGATGCTGATGGATATGAGAGGAAAGGGCGATGCTGATGGATATGAGAGGAAAGGGCGATGCTGATGGATATGAGAGGAAAGGGCGATGCTGATGGATATGAGAGGAAAGGGCGATGCTGATGGATATGAGAGGAAAGGGCGATGCTGATGGATATGAGAGGAAAGGGCGATGCTGATGGATATGAGAGGAAAGGGCGATGCTGATGGATATGAGAGGAAAGGGCGATGCTGATGGATATGAGAGGAAAGGGCGATGCTGATGGATATGAGAGGAAAGGGCGATGCTGATGGATATGAGAGGAAAGGGCGATGCTGATGGATATGAGAGGAAAGGGCGATGCTGATGGATATGAGAGGAAAGGGCGATGCTGATGGATATGAGAGGAAAGGGCGATGCTGATGGATATGAGAGGAAAGGGCGATGCTGATGGATATGAGAGGAAAGGGCGATGCTGATGGATATGAGAGGAAAGGGCGATGCTGATGGATATGAGAGGAAAGGGCGATGCTGATGGATATGAGAGGAAAGGGCGATGCTGATGGATATGAGAGGAAAGGGAGATGCTGATGGATATGAGAGGAAAGGGCGATGCTGATGGATATGAGAGGAAAGGGCGATGCTGATGGATATGAGAGGAAAGGGCGATGCTGATGGATATGAGAGGAAAGGGCGATGCTGATGGATATGAGAGGGAAAGGGCGATGCTGATGGATATGAGAGGAAAGGGCGATGCTGATGGATATGGAGGAAGGGCGATGCTGATGGAATGAGAGGAAAGGGCGATGCTGATGGATATGAGAGGAAAGGGAGGAGGAATGAGAGGAAAGGGCGATGCTGATGGATATGAGAGGAAAGGGCGATGCTGATGGATATGAGAGGAAAGGGCGATGCTGATGGATATGAGAGGAAAGGGCGATGCTGATGGATATGAGAGGAAAGGGCGATGCTGATGGATATGAGAGGAAAGGGCGATGCTGATGGATATGAGAGGAAAGGGCGATGCTGATGGATATGAGAGGAAAGGGCGATGCTGATGGATATGAGAGGAAAGGGCGATGCTGATGGATATGAGAGGAAAGGGCGATGCTGATGGATATGAGAGGAAAGGGCGATGCTGATGGATATGAGAGGAAAGGGCGATGCTGATGGATATGAGAGGAAAGGGCGATGCTGATGGATATGAGAGGAAAGGGGCGATGCTGATGGATATGAGAGGAAAGGGCGATGCTGATGGATATGAGGGGAAAGGGCGATGCTGATGGATATGAGAGGAAAGGGCGATGCTGATGGATATGAGAGGAAAGGGCGATGCTGATGGATATGAGAGGAAAGCGAGATGCTGATGGATATGAGAGGAAAGGGCGATGCTGATGGGATATGAGAGGAAAGGGCGATGCTGATGGATATGAGAGGAAAGGGCGATGCTGATGGATATGAGAGGAAAGGGCGATGCTGATGGATATGAGAGGAAAGGGCGATGCTGATGGATATGAGAGGAAAGGGCGATGCTGATGGATATGAGAGGAAAGGGCGATGCTGATGGATATGAGAGGAAAGGGCGATGCTGATGGATATGAGAGGAAAGGGCGATGCTGATGGATATGAGAGGAAAGGGCGATGCTGATGGATATGAGAGGAAAGGGCGATGCTGATGGATATGAGAGGAAAGGGCGATGCTGATGGATATGAGAGGAAAGGGCGATGCTGATGGATATGAGAGGAAAGGGCGATGCTGATGGATATGAGAGGAAAGGGCGATGCTGATGGATATGAGAGGAAAGGGCGATGCTGATGGATATGAGAGGAAAGGGCGATGCTGATGGATATGAGAGGAAAGGGCGATGCTGATGGATATGAGAGGAAAGGGCGATGCTGATGGATATGAGAGGAAAGGGCGATGCTGATGGATATGAGAGGGAAAGGGCGATGCTGATGGATATGAGAGGAAAGGGCGATGCTGATGGATATGAGAGGAAAGGGAGATGCTGATGGATATGAGAGGAAAGGGCGATGCTGATGGATATGAGAGGAAAGGGCGATGCTGATGGATATGAGAGGAAAGGGCGATGCTGATGGATATGAGAGGAAAGGGCGATGCTGATGGATATGAGAGGAAAGGGCGATGCTGATGGATATGAGAGGAAAGGGAGATGCTGATGGATATGAGAGGAAAGGGCGATGCTGATGGATATGAGAGGAAAGGGCGATGCTGATGGATATGAGAGGAAAGGGCGATGCTGATGGATATGAGAGGAAAGGGCGATGCTGATGGATATGAGAGGAAAGGGCGATGCTGATGGATATGAGAGGAAAGGGCGATGCTGATGGATATGAGAGGAAAGGGCGATGCTGATGGATATGAGAGGAAAGGGCGATGCTGATGGATATGAGAGGAAAGGGCGATGCTGATGGATATGAGAGGAAAGGGCGATGCTGATGGATATGAGAGGAAAGGGCGATGCTGATGGATATGAGAGGAAAGGGCGATGCTGATGGATATGAGAGGAAAGGGCGATGCTGATGGATATGAGAGGAAAGGGCGATGCTGATGGACATGAGAGGAAAGGGCGATGCTGATGGATATGAGAGGAAAGCGCGATGCTGATGGATATGAGAGGAAAGGGCGATGCTGATGGATATGAGAGGAAAGGGCGATGCTGATGGATATGAGAGGAAAGGGCGATGCTGATGGATATGAGAGGAAAGAGAGATGCTGATGGATATGAGAGGAAAGGGCGATGCTGATGGATATGAGAGGAAAGGGAGATGCTGATGGATATGAGAGGAAAGAGAGATGCTGATGGATATGAGAGGAAAGGGCGATGCTGATGGATATGAGAGGAAAGGGCGATGCTGATGGATATGAGAGGAAAGGGCGATGCTGATGGATATGAGAGGAAAGGGAGATACTGATGGATATGAGAGGAAAGGGAGATGCTGATGGATATGAGAGGAAAGGGCGATGCTGATGGATATGAGAGGAAAGGGCGATGCTGATGGATATGAGAGGAAAGGGCGATGCTGATGGATATGAGAGGAAAGGGCGATGCTGATGGATATGAGAGGAAAGAGAGATGCTGATGGATATGAGAGGAAAGGGCGATGCTGATGGATATGAGAGGAAAGGGCGATGCTGATGGATATGAGAGGAAAGGGCGATGCTGATGGATATGAGAGGAAAGGGCGATGCTGATGGATATGAGAGGAAAGGGAGATGCTGATGGATATGAGAGGAAAGGGAGATGCTGATGGATATGAGAGGAAAGGGCGATGCTGATGGATATGAGAGGAAAGGGCGATGCTGATGGATATGAGAGGAAAGGGCGATGCTGATGGATATGAGAGGAAAGGGCGATGCTGATGGATATGAGAGGAAAGGGCGATGCTGATGGATATGAGAGGAAAGGGAGATGCTGATGGATATGAGAGGAAAGGGAGATGCTGATGGATATGAGAGGAAAGGGCGATGCTGATGGATATGAGAGGAAAGGGCGATGCTGATGGATATGAGAGGAAAGGGAGATGCTGATGGATATGAGAGGAAAGAGAGATGCTGATGGATATGAGAGGAAAGGGCGATGCTGATGGATATGAGAGGAAAGGGCGATGCTGATGGATATGAGAGGAAAGGGCGATGCTGATGGATATGAGAGGAAAGGGCGATGCTGATGGATATGAGAGGAAAGGGAGATGCTGATGGATATGAGAGGAAAGGGAGATGCTGATGGATATGAGAGGAAAGGGCGATGCTGATGGATATGAGAGGAAAGGGCGATGCTGATGGATATGAGAGGAAAGGGCGATGCTGATGGATATGAGAGGAAAGGGCGATGCTGATGGATATGAGAGGAAAGGGCGATGCTGATGGATATGAGAGGGTGCGCCATGAGAAGGAGGGGAGAGAGACTGACCACGTCGTAGAAGGACACGAAGTGCCGCCCCAGCTTGATGGCGAACAGCTCTGGTGGTAACTCGCTGGAGCACTGCTTCGCCAACACGTACACCTGCGCGAACACAGGAAATCGCGAGCAGGGGGCAGTTTCCGTCAGCAGCTCCTTGCGGCCGTCGTCGTGGCACCTTGCGCGCTCGCGTTCCCTCTTCTCTTCCCCTCTTCCTCCCCCCTCCTTCCCCTCACAGTGTTCTTCATCGTGTCCGTCGCGACGACAGTCGAGCAGTCCGCGCTGAGGAACGACGCGTCGGCCTTGGAAGTGAGCGCGATGTCGACGCTCCACTCCACCATCGCGTGGACGCCGCCTCGCCGCCACACGCGCCCCAGCCGCACGCGCGACTTGCCGTGCTGGTGGCTCGTCAGCGCCGCCCCGCCCTCGCTCGCCGCGGATGCCGCTGCGGCAGCATGCCGGTACGACGCCATGGGGGAACTGGGTGGTTCGCGCCGCAGAGTCCGAATCTGAGTCGCCGGAGGTACAGGGACACCGCGAGGTGTGGACTGGGTATGGGGGCTGTGCGCCGCTTGAGCTGATTTATGCGCAAATCCAGGTGGCTCGCAGCAGTCTTCAGGGCGTGTTTAACGCGTACGTTTTAGGCTTTGAGCAGCTCGTGTCCACGCGGCATGTGGCACCACGTGGCACTAAAATTGCGAGAATTGCTCCAGTTACACGCTACACGGTGACTTCGCCCAGATAATAAAACAAAAGACACCCAATTCCCAACCGAAGCCGGTAATTTCCGCCCACAGCGTATTGGTTGTGAGACAGGGGTGCGAAGACTAGTCAGCAAGAGTACACACAAGACAGGAGCAAACCAAGGCGGCACTACTAGTCCGGCCACTAGAAGAGAAGCCACAAGGCCAGTCTGAAAGGCATATATAAAGAGGAGTACACAATCAAGGGCCTAGCAAGTGAGAATCTACAGGAACTAGACCAAGCTGCAAACAGTGCCGCGTATGATCTTTAGGCGCAAGCGCCTTAGTAAAGATATCAGCTGTGTTGGCACCGGAGGCCAAGTGTACTACGCGAGCCTGGCAACGCTGCTGTAGCTCGCCCAGGAGGAAGTACCGCAACTGAATGTGCTTCGCTCTACCCTCAAGTCGAGGCTCTTGACACAGGAGGATCATGACCATGTTGTCAGCGTATAGAACCGGGGCAGAGCTAGGCCGCTCACCTAAGTCAGTGAGGAAGAAGGTCAGCCAGCAGAGCTCCTGTGCCGCCATGGCACCGGCGTAAATCTCAGCCTCACTGCTAGACTGGGTAACAGAGGAGGAGCGAGTGGACCTCCACGAGATGGCACCTGAACCAAGGCTAAAGCAGTAGCCCTGAGAGGACCTGATGGTCTCAGTGTCGTCTGCCCACGAAGCGTCTGTGTGCCCTGTAAGGACCACTGGCCTGCATCCTCCTAGCGCTAACCCCATGCTCGATGTACTTGCTAGATAACGCAAAACCCTCTTAGCGGCCGACTAGTGCTGTGGTCGGTGTCTGCCTGTGGCCACAAAGCGAGCTAGCATGCTGAGAGGGTATGCGGGATCTGGACGAGTGCAAGTCATCAGGTAGATGAGACAACCCACCAGATCTGTGTAAGGACCACTGGGCTCCACTGACTCTGCACGAACTGGAGCACAGAGCATGTAGTCTACTAGCAAAGGTGTGGGCTGTGCGGAGGAGAACTGAAGACCGAACCTCTGAAGGACCTAGCGCACCAACTGTGACAGTATGAGAGTGATGGTGCGCGCTGCTCGGTCCCTGGAGATCTGCAGGCCAAGGTAGCGGCGCAACTCTCCTAGGTCAGTGCAGGTGTGTCTCCACAGCCGCTCGGCCTTCAGGGAGGCCAGTGCGTTTCTGTCTGCAATAGCAAAGACCAGGTCGTCTACGTAGATAAGGATGTAGAACGGATTCTGGCCCGCACGAATGAAGAGCAAGGGGTCTGCAGAGGAAGGAAAGAACTGCAGGTTAGCTAGCATAGTACGCAGCGTGTCGTGCCACCCACGGGGCGCCTGTCGCACATCGTAGACCGGGCGCCGGAGGAGCCACTTGGTCCCAAGAGGGAACATACCGGTGACGCCCTAAGGGCGGCGCAGGTAGACCTGCTCGTGTATGCTGCCCTGCAGGAAAGCAGTGGAGAAGTCGAGGGACTGTAACTCGTAGTCACGTTGTGCTGCTACGTGTAGCAGTGCCCGAACAGTACTCATCTTCGATGTCGGGGCGAAGGTCTGAAAAAAGTCCACCCCCTCGCGCTGACTGAAGCCTCTAGCCACGTAGCACGCCTTGAACACATGCGGCACTCCAGGAGGGCGCTTCACCTTGAAGAGCCACCGGCCATCGACTACGTTCACCCTAGGTGGGGGACCAGGTCGTCAACGTACATTCTGGTGGATCTCCAAGATGCCATCTCCTACTCCATGGCAGCTATCCAATGAGAGGCTCAGGGTCCCAAGGTCGCCTCAGCGTAAGTGCAAGGGGTCGGGATGTCAAAGGCGTCTGGGTCACCCTCAGGGACTAGCAGCATGGAACAGAGATGGGGAGCAGTCTGCGACAAGAAAGCAAGCTTGTACTGCCTGTCCTCTGGGACGTCACTGCCAAGGGCAGGCGCACCCCCGACGAACGGAGGACAGACAGGGTCAAAGACCAGAGCGGTGGCGTAGTCAAGGCGGCGGGTAGAGGCGAAGTCAGCGACAACAGCGACGATAGCATTAAGACTCGAGACAGGAACAGACGGGTCGGTAACGAGGGAGGCAAGGACCCGATGAATAAGAGGACGAGCAGCACGAAGGTAGTCAGACATAGGGGGAGGCGCGACAGCAAGCGACGACGAAGAGACACAAGAGGGGAACTTGGGGGAAGACGAGCCGGAGACGAGTCCTGCGGAGGGAACACAGGGCCGTAGATAGGAAGAGGAGGAGGGGCCGCGGGAGGTGCAGGCGAGCGGTCAGGGGAGGGAACGTCGAGTAGGCAAAGGGCGGACACCAAAGGCGACTCCAGCTGCTGCTGCTCGACGCCGACACCTGGACCGCCAGCTTCACCACGGCTACCACTGGAACACTCCATGCTAGCACCCCATGAACGAGCACCTCCAGAGCGAGAACTCTCTCCAGCACCGGCGCCACCCCGAGGCCCGCCAAGACAAGCCACGATGACAGGAACCCCACGACTAGCACCCTCCTCAACGCCAGTACCCTCAGAGTCCACAGATGGCTGCTACTGCTGCAGCGGTGGTGGCTGCTGCTGCGACAGCAGCGACGACGGCTGCGGCTGCTGCTGCAGCGGCGACTGCGGCGGCTACTACGAAGGTGGAGGAGGAGACACCCGGGGAGAGGCAGGCGGTGAAAAATGCGCCGCGGGGCCACCAGAGTCAGCCGACTCCTCGACCGGGACAACAGACGGGAGGGGAGTGACGTGAGACACACTAGATGGAGCAGGACGGGAAGGGAGGTGACCAAGGGCCACAGGGGTAGTGGGAACTAGAAACAGGGGAGGGGAAACCGGGAGACCTCAGTGGGGAAAGCGGTGGTAAAAGAAGACAGACTCGTTGAAAGTAGCTTTAGGGGAGTGAAAGAAGGGGTGACATGGCGGGTGGTACAAGTGTCAGTCAGACGAGTCAAGGGGGAAACCGAGGAAGACACAGGGGACAGTGGGGGCAGTGAGCTTGTCCGTGCCAGAGGCAGGAACGTGAGTGAGGCAACCCCAGACATGGAACGCAGACGCGTCACCAGGGAACCCGGTCGAAAGAAGGGTCGGCGAAACCTCCGGCCGCTGGGACAAAAATGTTTTGCGGACCAGAGGCGAACTCGCCGCCACGGTCTGAGTGGAGACACAGCACAAGGAGACCGCGATGGAGGCACGCAGCTACGACCCACGGGATAAGAACGTCAGGCACGTCGGCCTTCTACTCCAGGGGAAACACCATGGTGTAGCGGGTGAAGTCGTCGACGAGCACAAGAAAGTAGCGCTCGCGACGCGGCCTAGGGACGGGGGCTGGGCCCCAGACGTCCAAGTGCAGGGTCTGGAGGGATGCAGTGGTGAGCGAAGAGAGGAGTGAGGAGCACGGCGCAGCCGGCCCTCGACACAGGGCGTGCACGGCGGCGCAGGCAAGGGAGGGAGGGCTGGAAGCAACACAGGGAGACCTAGGACGAGACAGTGCTGAGACATGTAACGCAGACACGGGAGTGTGGGGTGACCTAGGCGGTGGTGCCACAGAAGCGACGGGTGAGTGAGCGACGGACATGAGCAAGCCGCAGCAACCTGGGAAGACGCAAGACCCGGGGAGGACGCGCCCACCGGGGCGGAAGCAGTGTCCAGCGTAAATAGGCCAGACACCGAGTCCCGAGGGAACGTCGCTAGGGGGGCACCTGAGGCGGCCTCGGTACTGACATCGTACTGCTCATGATCAGGGAACGTAGTGGTGATGCCGAGGTCCTGAAGACAGCCGACACCAACTAAGTTCTTGGGGAACGAAGGGATGTGCAGGCTGTAAGGGAACCCAAGGGGACCGCTGGACAGGGAACGGTAGTGTTGCTCCGAGCAACGACAGGACTAGAGGAGGGGTCAGCAATTGCGTCAGCTGCAGGCGCGGCAAGTGGCGTGAGTGTGGCATGGTCGCGGAAGAAGCAGGCAGATGCACTGGAGTCAAGTGTGAAGGACAGCGAAGCAGTAGTGGCAGCCGAGGGAGGAGCGAGTGTAGAGCCTAGGCTAGACAAAGCAAACGGTCCTACGCCTGACGCAGTAGGGGAGTCTGGATGACACAGAGGTGCTATGCCTAAGCTAGAGAACACAGGGTAATATGATCCGGACACACTAGAAGTGTCAGCATACAGAGAATGCATGGCAGAATTAATATGATCCATGTCTAGTCCAATATAGGCACATTGTCGCGCAGCAGACTGGGCCAGTCAGGGAGGTCCGGGGCCGGGCCGAAGCGGCGACGGAAGAGGTCGTCGAGGCGGCGGAAGCAGCAGGCGGTTGGGTGCGGGCGGCAGCATACCGTGCCACGGAGGGGCCATGTCTGGAGCTGAAACTGGCAGCTCACAGCACAGAAGCCACCGGTAGACGCCGAGTTGCGAGGGCCGCCACCGCGGCCACCACCTTAAGGGGCTCCTGGCCACCCTGGCGGGAGGCAGGCCCACGGCTGCTGCTGCTGCTGTTGCTGCGGCGGCTGTGACTACTGCTGCTGCGTCTACTGCTACTCCTAGACACCAGCTCCAACCTCCTCGTCAGCCATCACCACCATCAGCAGCGCCACCAACACGCCCTCCCTTGGGGCCGCGGCGGCCCCGACGCTGTCACTTCTGCAGGAAAGCCACGGTTGCAGTCTCAGTGGCAATGGCAGCTATAGCAACCACGGTGGAGACGTTAGTGTACGTGCACTGGGAGGGAGCACAGCCTTGAAAGATAGGGACTGCCGCAACACCGCTCGACTGAGCGATAGTGCGCTGGCGAGTCTCTATCTTAGACAGAGCAGTGAGAAAGGTGGTCAGGGTGAAAACACCGAGGTGCTGACTAAGGAAGTGGTCACGAGCAGTGGCTATGCGGCCAGGC